CTTGGCGATGTTGGGCGTCTTCCAGGTTCCGTCGGGCGTACTCCCCCAGCCGGCTCAGCTTCTCCCGGAGCTGCGTAATGTACTGCACTGTCCCTCGTCCAGTAGAAGCCTGGTTCTCCCATCCTTCCTTCAGGAGGTCCAGAATCCCACGGCACCGGCGGCCGTACAGCAGCTCAAAGGGGGAGAAACCCGTGGAGGCTTGCGGGACCTCTCGCACTGCAAACATCAGGCTAGGTAACATCAAATCCCACCCCCGGGGGTCCTCCAGCACGAATCGGCGTAGCATTTCCTTGAGCGTTTTGTTGAACCACTCAACTAATCCATCGGTTTGGGGGTGGTAGACTGAGGTCCGCAGCCGGTGGATTTTTAACATCTTGCACAACTCCTTAATGACCCTGGAGGTTACATTCGGGCCCTGGTCCGTAAGGATGGCCTGGGGTAGCCCTACCCTAGAGAAGATCCGGAGCAGTTCCCGCGCTAACGTCGGGGCTTTTGTGTTCCTTAACGGGATCGCCTCGGGGTACCGGGTGGCGTAATCGACAACTACCATAATGTAACGGTGCCCCCGCCCCGCGGGTTCCAGTGGCCCTACCAGGCAATCCGTTCAAACGGTACCGCCACTATTGGCATGGGGACAAGGGGGGCTTTTGGTACTCTGGCTGGCGCCGTCCTCTGGCATTCCGGGCAGGAGTCACAAAAGTCTCGCACGGCCCTGAAAACGCCGGGCCAGAAAAACCGCTGCAGGACCCGGTCTAAGGTTTTCTCCCGGCCGAGATGCCCTGCCCATGGGACGGCGTGCCCCAACTCCAGGACTTCCCGACGGAAGCGGGTGGGGACCACGAGTTGTTTCCGTACCCCCCCTGCGGCCTCCCTCGTGACCCTGTATAGGCGGTCGCCCCATACCTGGAACTGTGGTCCCTGCGGTGCCCTCTCTTCGCCCTGCCTTTGCTCGTCAGGGGTGCCCGCTTGGTCCCAGGCATGTTGGAGGGTGGGGTCCATCCGTTGCTCGGTCAGGAAGTCCGGCGCTGTCTCGAGCTCCAGGCAGATCGCTCTCTCCTTCTCTGCTGCTGCCGGCGTCAAGTCGCCAGCCACCCCCCCTCGGCCTCCTTCCTCCGCCGGAGGGTCCTGTCCTTTTAGGAACAGCTCGAACCCGGGCCAGTCACGGCCGATGAGGACGGGGTACGGCAAGGTTTTGGCCTTCCCTATCGGCCAAACCCGGTCCTGTCCCCCTCCGGTCAGGCGGAGTTGGACCGTGGGGTATGCCTTCACGTCCCCGTGGACGCACCTCATCCACACGGGTTCGCCTTCTGGGTGTCCGGGTGGGACGAGGTCGGCCCTCACAAGGGTGACGGTGGAGCCCGAATCCACCAATGCCTGAACGGGGCGGCCCTCGAGCCATACTCGATGGACCAAGGGACCCCCTCTGGTTCCCCCGTCCTCCCGGGGCTCGGCTGCGGCCCCCTGGCTTAGGGTGCAGTCCATTAAGGGGCATTCCCGCTTAAAATGCCCCTCCTGCCCGCACTGGAAGCAGGGCCCTCTTCCTCCTTGACGGACCTCCCGTGGCCCCCCTTCGGGTCGTCGCTCCGCGTCTGTTCTCTCGGGCGGGGGCCGGGGCCAGACCGGGGCCAACCGGGGGGGGGTATCGCGTCCCCTGCGCCCCCCTGATGAGGGTTCTCCCCCTGGAGGCTTCCCCTGGGGCCGGGACCCCCCTACCTTCGGGGTGGGCGGGTTGGCCCGTCCGGCGCCGCCCTCTTCCCTCTCCGCGAGGAGATGGGCTTCCATCAGCGTGACGGCCTCATTGAGCGTTGCGGGCTGGTTCCGGCGGACCCACCTTTGCCCGTCCCTCGGTAAAATGTGGATGAACTGCTCCATCACCACCATTTCTGAGACCTGGCTGCCCGTCTTGTGCTCGGGCTCTAGCCACCGGTTGGCCCATTCTTTTAGTCGCTGGGCTACCGCCCGAGGCCGGTCGCCACCTCTAAACACCTCCTGCCGAAACTTCTGCCTGCAAGTCTCGGGGGAGTGCCCCACCTGATCTAGAATCGCCTCGCGGACCTTCGGGTAATTCAAGGCATCCGCTACGGCCAGGCTGCGGTAGGCGAGTTGGGCGGGTCCGCTTAAGTAGGGGGCCAACAGTGTCGCCCATTGGTCCGGCGGCCACCGGGCAGCCGTCGCCACCCTTTCAAAAGTCGTTAAAAATGCTTCTGGGTCGTCCTGAGGTCCCAACTTCGTCAGGCGCAGGGGTAAGTTGGGTCCTTCGCCCGATGTCCCCGGTGCTCCGACCGGGGTTCCCCATCGCCTCTCCACTGTCTGCCGCCACCGCTCCTGTTGGGCTGCTAATTCTTGGATCAGCAGCCTCTGATGTTCCTGGAACTGCGTGGTCAGCTGTTGGACTAGTTGGGCCTGTTGCTCTTGCTGGGCCTGGCGTTGCTGCTGCTGGTTCTCGCTGAACCATTCGAGGAACGGTCGGGGCTCCATCGGGTCGCCCGTTCCTTCTTCGCCCCACACGGGCTCTGTCGGCCGGTTGGCCTGTTCACGTTCGTCTATGGGGAGG